CTCCAGCTCAAATTTTTCCCAACATCAAGAGACTGAAGAAGCAATCATGTCCTTTGTTTTTTATTTCTTCATGGATCTCATGAAGACTTGTCTGACTCCTGACCATGTTACAACAGCAGGATGCCTGCATCCCCCTCACACCCTGTTTCTGTTCATACGCTGAGGTCGTTACAACACTCAGTTTATACGGATTCAAAGGGTGCATGTGTATACATGCAAACACTTTTTGGTTTAATGCCATATTATTATACACAGTAAATAATTTTTGTAGCAGCTTTTTGGTTTAATGCCATATTATACACAGTAAATAATTTTTGTAGCATTTGGGAATTAGTTTTAATGGAGTCCAGATAATAACCAGCAGTGTTGGGGGCGGGGGGGGGTGGGGGGCAGATTTAAAACAAAAGACAAATTTAAGCTTAGCTATCAGCAGGCTAAAACAGAAAACTGGGCATTCTGTTAGATGCATCATCCTAGTTCCTCACAGTGCTGTCCAATTTCATTTGTTCCTTATTTTGCCCAAAAACATTTAACTGTGTTAAAGTAATGCTTCAAGTGGTCACTGCCTTTGCCTAATGTAAGGTTCCCCATCCACTCGTAATCAACTTTCTCCAGCATTACTCCTTGTGCTTTGAATCTCTTCCCTTTCGATTTTGATGTCATGAACCCCTAGCTCTCACCATTTATGAAGACGGATGTGTCACTGGAGTGAATCTGCTCTCATTCATTGCTGGTTATTCTTCTCTTACAGCTCTCCCTCCCCTCATGGCTCGTCGATCTCAAAGCTCCTCCCAGGGGGACAATCCCCTCGACCCTAACTATCTCCCCCCCCATTACAAGGAGTATTACCGCTTGGCTCTGGATGTGCTTACTGAAGAGGGCAAAGAAAGTTACCAACGCTTCCTGGCAGAAGAAGCAGCTCCTGATTTTCTTTGCGACTCTGAGGTGGATCACATCATCCAGAATCTCCAGAAGCCCCAGTATGCCAATCAGGAAGGTAGCACAGACACTGCAGGTGACAATGACATGGATGGATCCTCCGGGACTTACTGGCCCATGAACTCAGACCTCGCTGTTCCTGAGCTTGACCTGGGCTGGCCAATGGTCTTTGGGTTCAGGGGAACGGAGGTGACAACTCTCGTGCAACCCCCACCCCCGGACAATCCCAGCATTAAGGAGGAGGCTCGCAGAATGATTCGAGCAGCTCAGCAGGTGAGACAGCGAAGAGCCCAACTAGAGCAGAGATAGAATCGTCAGAGAATCACAGAATGGTTTTGGTGGGAAGGGACCTTAAAGATCATCTAGTTCCACCCCCCTGCCATGGGCAGGGACACCCTCCACTAGCCCAGGTTGTCCAAAGCCTCATCCAGCCTGGCCTTGAACCCCTCCAAGGATGGGGCATCCACAGCTTCTCTGGGCAACCTGGGCCACTGCCTCACCCACCTGCACAGGAAAACATTTCCTCCTCAGATCTCATCTCAGTCTCCCCTCTTTCAGCTTAAACCCGTTCCCCCTCATCCTGTCCCTGCACCCCCTGATCCAGAGCCCCCCCATCTCTCCTGTAGCCCCCTTTCAGGTGCTGGAATGTCTCCCTGGGGCCTTCTTTTCTCCAGGCTGCACAACCCAAACTCTCCCAGCCTGTCGTCGCATGGGAGCTGCTCCAACCTTGCACCATCTCCGTGGCCTCCTCTGG